TGATAGAGCCTGATAGAACCACTGACACCATGGCCCCTAGCTACCCTTCAGGTCTGGAATTGAACTCACTCCTGTGGCTTCCAGCCAAATAAAAGACAGGCACATGAGCTAAATATTTACATGAGGTAGATACACTCTTGGGAGAGATCAATCACAGGAGAACAGAAGGGCAGTATGTTCAGTGTGCACAGGGAGACCATTCAGGGGGCAGAAGTGCATGGGAGGGAAGGACACAGGGAAGAGGTAACTATGGGGAGGAAGTGGGAAGAAAGCCATTACATTGTGGGGAATTGCAGTCAATGTCATGAGACAAAATGTGTATTTAGTGCTATATGGAAAAAGAATTTGCTCCGTAAACTTTTACCCAAACCACAACAAAAATAAAAATAAAAAGATTTACCACCTTGGAAACCCAATGGGGGTTGCTATGAGTTGGAATTGACTCTATGGCAGTTAGATTTGTTTTCGTAAATAAAGTTTTTTTGGAATGCAGCTATACTCAATCATTTACATTTTGTACATTATTGCTTTCACACTCAACAGAATGGTTGAGTAGTTGCAATAAAGACTGTATGGCCAATAAAACATAAAATATTTACTAGATGGCCCTTCATAGGCAAAGTTTGATGATCCTGCTATTAAGGAGTGAAAAGAAAGCATCATCACAGAGAAAGACAAAGACCACGGCAGCCTGGCAAAGAGAACCGGGAAGCCCCAAATACCTTATCTGAGATTGATCCCATCACATGTGCTTCCTCTGTGTTTACTAATGGACTGGACTGTTGTTTAGATGTACCAACTTTTGATCTAGCCAAACTTAAAAATCCACTAATGGAATCTTCTTTCTTTTCTTGTTTAGATGTATCCCATCTAGAAGGTTTTCTTAATTCTGAGAGGTAAGAGACATAAAATCAGAATCAGCAAACAAAAATACATAGTATATTGTAACCAATGTCATGAAACAAAACGTGTATAGATTGTTGAATGGAAAACAAATATGCTCTGTAAACTTTCACCCAAGCTACAACTGGAAAAAAACCAAATGTATAGCACACAAAAGGCAAGTTAGTCATTACTGCTCTTTAATTCATTCAAAAACATCAGCACACTTGAGCCAGGCACTGTGCAAAATGTTGGAGATGTGGCAAGACTGAGACAGAACCCCAAATTCAAATAGTGCACATATGGGCCAGTACAACATGGAGACAGAGTTCAGATGATCTGTATACCTAGGACTGGACAACCCTTTACTTCTATCTTCCCAACACGCTAACGGTTGAGGCCCTGGTCAACACAAAGACCTGAGGGTTAAACCCCTACTCACTGTCAGGACCTTGGTGCTGTTGTACTTTTCCACTTGATGCTTTAGTTGCCAGCAAGGAAGCTGTCTCTGGGAGTGTCAGAAAATTAAAAACTGAGTATTTGTCACGTTTCACTCTTGGTAATCCAACTAAAGTTGAACTGGGGATTGAAAAAAAGAGAGAATTTTAATAACAATGGCTAGAATAAAATTCATTTCCTGTAAAGCTTTCCATCTCAAGTTTTTCACAAGCTCTTCTACATGGTTAAAACAGTCCCCTAAGATGTTTATAAGAAACATCAAAGCACAACATGTCACTTTGAGAACTAAGGTGTGCCTGACCTAAACCATGATTATTTCAATTGCCTCCTATGCCCATGAAAACTGGACAATGAATATGGAAGACTGAAGAAGAACTGATGCCTCTGAATTATGATGTTGGCAAAGAATAATGAATATACCAAGGACTGTCAGAAGAACAAATAAATATGTTTGGGGAGAAGTACAGCCAATGGTCCTTAGAAGCGAGGATGGCAAAACTTCGTCTCACATACTTTGGACAGGTTATCAGGAAGGACCAGCCCCTGGAGAATGTAGGTGACCATGCTTGGCAAAGCAGAGGCTGGCAACAAACAAGATGACCCTTACTGAGATGGACTGATGCAGTGGCTGCAGAGTGGGTCAAACATAGCAATGACTGTGAGGGCAGCACAGGGCCAGGCAGCATTTCATTGTGTTGTACACAGGGCTGCTATTAGTTGGAACTAATTCAATGGCACTTAATAACAACAAGATGTTTTTGCTTTTACAAGCAGTAAAGAATTTAAAAAGCTGACTTTAGGACCTATGAGTTTTTCTTTATTACAGTAAGGCTAGGATTTAACTTTGAAAATGGATTTCCAATTAAGGAGAAATTATCATGCTAAAAATGTATCTGTGTTTTCTGACAAAATCTGGTTCAACTGTATATACTTTTTGCAGTGTTTATAACCAAATAAGAATGTGTTGAACTTCTATAAAGAGAATTAGAAAGCATAAGTAATATTTTAAATGTAAACTGAGCAGCATTTAAATTTTTAAAACTTGACATAACTGAGTTTCAAATCTTCAATGTTATCTGGAGGGCTGGGAATTTTTTTTGGTTTTGTTTTTGTTTTGAGTAGCAGATGAGTAGAAGTTAATCTATAAAATTTTCAACTCCAAGGACTTACAAGTTCATCTAGAAAAAGGAGATTTATATGAGTAGATAACAGGAAACGTTTGCTTTCACATAAGAGAGTAAGTTTTGCACTGGTGCAAAAGCAAGTTAATCCAACTTACTCTGGATAAGGGTCAGGGACATTAAACCTCTTACACAGAAGCTTGTCAGGGTGCCACTCAAACACATCTCGGGTGAGCTTCCCAAACATCTTCATCTTCACAGCCGACTGCTTGTCACTGACATCATTCTGGGAAAACACATTCATTCGGTTTCATCAAGTGGTCACTCGATCTGATTGCTCTTCCACTTAAAAATTTCAAGTGACTTATCAAATTACAAAACAGCTCATGCTATAACATTTTTGGTAAAGTACTTGGTAGATGCTGGAATCTAAATCATAATATTGTTTCTAGTCTACTATGCCACATATATTTCGATATTTTCACTGTGAGATTTAAAATACTTGGCTATACAGTGTTTTAATTTTAAAATTCACCAGCTAGGGACAGGATGGCGGCAGACCTCTTGGTCACGAGGGACTTCAACTTGATCCGAATCATCTTCCTCCTTGGCATGAGTGAACCTGGAGGACAAGGTCGAATGGGAAGACACATACAGCACAGATGCACGAGCAAACTCATCCCGCTCACGGCTTCGCTCCCATTCAGTCATATTAGGATCCAGACATCTTTCCAGAGCATCTATGGTACAGAGAGAGAATAGGAAACTGTTTCACTGTTCGATAGCTTCAATGAGAGTTTTCAAATATTTGGCTTTACAGTGTTTTAATTTTAAAATCCATCAGATGGGACAGGATGGCAGACCTCTTGGTCTCGAGGAACTTCAACTTAAGAAGCTTAAAGGACAATGTCTGGTGAGTATGACTTTAACTCTGTGTATTCATTTCACCACAGAAAATACAAATGCTATCTTTGAACACTGGCCAGCATTTAAAGGTACCTCAGGAGTGGTGTGAGGAAGAACATGGCAGGTATCAGTGCGCTCTGCCTTAAAATGATGCTCTTATTTGTCTACTACATATACCAGAGAAAATAATTTGGGGACTATGGTAGTTAAGTTTATGTGACAACTTGACTGGGCCTGGTTTTGAGTGGCTGGGCAGCTGGGTGTACTTATACCCCATGGTGAGACTGGGAATCACCTCTATGGTGGAATCTACTGGAGCATCAGAATGTGGTCTGCTTCCTGTATATAAGAAGTTTTGAGAAGGGTCTCAGCACTTTTGGCACACTTGAATCATATATATAATCAAGTTGTTGTTCGGCAGCCTGCCAATGTTGGGATTGCTAATGGACTTGACTACCGTGTGGTTTGGTAATTTGGGGACTGTGCCATTGTACTTGTGGACCTTAGGTTTGTCAGCCTCAGCAGTCAGCAGCTGCCTGAGTGAAGAGATGCCTCCAGCTCCAGTGTGCCAGGAGCAAGAGGCAGAGCTGAAGCCCAAGGTCAAGGGGCTTTCACTCAGCCCCTAGAGCTGGCACTTTGAACTCAGACTTCTAGCCTCCTAAACAGTAAGAGAATAAACCCGTCTCATCTCATCTGTGGTATTTTCTATTAGAGCTACACTAGAGGTAACCAAAACAAGAACTAATACTTGGTTAAATTTTCTGAAGCAAGCAACTTCTCATCACTCCCAAGTGTATTCTTATTTTTGGCAGAAAAACTCTTTTTCCTAACTTTTTTTTTTTTAATTTAACAAGTAAACAGCAGGGCTATTTCTCAATAGGGAGTGAAGGCACAATGAATAGACTTTATATTTCCCCAAAGACCTCCTCTTGAAAAACAACCCCTCTAATTGCTGATACTCTCTCAGAGGAATCACTACAAATGACAGTAACCCCTCTCTAATCCTTGCCATGTTTACTTCATAGATTATAAAGTGATCTTTTCCCCTATGTCATGATTCAACTTTTACAGCCAACTATCTTTCTAAGTCAAATTTTAGATTTAATTTTGATTTAGGGTTTGGTGTTAGGATCTTAAGATAAAGTTGAGAGGACATAGTCACCATGGTGTAGAATACAACATTTACAGAAGTCAAGCATTTGCAAACAGTAAATGGACTGTAATTTAGCATTAGCCATTTCCAAAGCAAGTTCTGCATTTAAACAGACATCTCTAGGACCTGAGATGTAGAGAAAGACAATTATTTAGTTCATTGGTCTTTCTTTCCAAGGTCAAAAGGCAGAGCCTCAAACTTTTGTAGTGTTTTCAGCAGGACAATGTAAGAACACTAGCAGAGCAGGACACTTCAACTTTAAATCTGAAGCTAAGATGAGAACAGGGAGAGTACTACCCACAACTAAGGCATGAGGGACCCCCGGGCTAGCACCCACCTTTGTGACCCTGTTTCATATTTACTAAGAATGCTTCATATCGTTTTTGTTTTTCTGGATCTTCTGTGAAAGGTTTGAAGTTGCTGGCTCTTGTGGTGGGTGTCCCTCCACCCAACGTCATATGCCAAGAGCTGTGTCCGACATCTGGAAATGAGGGCTGGGGTCTGCCACTCGGGGCATTCTGGGCCAGACTCCTGGCTTTGAGTTGAGCTGCTTTAAGGTCAGTTGCCTGCTTCATTTCTTTGATCCTCTCTTTATCTTTTTGGGATAGAAATTCTAAAACTGAAGGAGTTGGACCTAAATTAAAGCAACAGGAAAAAGAGAAGAATCATATAGTTACTATATTTATATTTCTCGGCACATACAATTTCACTATCACAAATTAATATAACTGGTGATGATTATTTTCATGTATAATGTTTCACTTGTCTTCATATTATCCCCATGAACTAGAGAGTGAAAAAGTAATGGGACTTCTATCTTACACCTGGTAAAAATGGAGGCTAATACATGAATATTTATAGAGCAAGTGGGTGGTTCTAGAATGAGGAATGATATCCTGGGCTCCAGATCTCCAGGCTGCAGTGGACACCATTTCCACAGTCCCAGCCAGCACATACCCTGCTATCCATCCAGCATCTGCTCATCTAGCAATGCTCACTGAGTACCTACCCCAAGTCAGGGCACTGGGCTAGGGACTGGGGGGATGACACAGATGAGTGCCTACTCTCACTAGTGAGTATGGTGGACATTAAAGAAGGCAAAAAATCAGCACCAGAGGGTTGCTATGAAAGGACTGATATGAAAAAAAAAGAAAATATGGTGATGTGATTGAGGTAACTAGCTGCATGGGCTGACAGTGAGGGGTAGAGGAAGAGATAACTAGCTTAGGTGGTCAAGGAAGGCCTGGATGGTCTCAGTTAAGAGGTAATATTTGAGTTAAATTCTAAATAATACAAAGGAGCCAGACTCACAGAAATATGGGGGAAGAAGAGAGGCAGAAGATGTAACAAACATAAAGGCCCTGAGGTGGGACCATGCCTGGTAGGCTTGAGGGCAGAAAGGAGGACTGTGAGGATGGCCCCCTAAAGTATGGAGGAACGCAGTCTAAGATGTGGTCTAAGGGGTAGGCGGGTGCTGTATTGCATAGGGCCTTGTAGGGGTATTACTTTAAGTGTGAGAAATACCAGCAGGTCTTAATTGGGTAGTGATATAATTTGGTTCATCTAGTTGCCATCAAGGGAAATGGACTATACAGGGAAAGGAGGGAAAATGAAGCAACCAATAAGGAGGCTATCATAACAATCCAGGTGAAAGAAGAGTGGGCATTAGATCAGGAAGCAGTGGAAATGCACTGGATGGAGAAGTGGATGAATTCCCCATGTGTGCTGGAGGTAGAGCTGAAAGGACTTCTGATGGACTGGGTAGGATGGGAGAAAGAAGACAGAAAGAGAAGGGCTAAGAATTAGGCCTGAGCAGTGGGTCAATGGTGGGTGGCATCAGTTACTGAGGTGGGGAAGAGCAAATGTGGGGAAGAGAGTAGAGAACCAAGAGTTCTGTTTTGGTCTTTATACTTGACGTATTTATTAGGGTCCCGAATGGCAGTGCTGCAAAGCATGAGCACCTCAAAGGGTGTCCTTGCGCTGTGGCCTACAGTGGATTTGCCACATTCCTCATACTTTTAGGCTTTCAAGACAAGAGCTATTGTACTTTACTCCTTGAGGAAAGAAAAAAAAAAAGCATACTTTCCCAGGCTGTGCAGAAAAAGTGAAGGTACAAATGTCCCTGGTCTTAACATTCCTGGATAAACATCAAATATTTGAAAACAGCTGAGCTTAAGAAAAGAGTTTTGATTTTAATAACACAACCCAAACTGAAGATGGAAAAATGAAAGGTGGTAAGAAATCAAGAATATCATATTATGAGTGTAAATGAGAAGAAACAGCTGCAAACATTCATTAATGATCAGAACGTGGAATGTACAAATAAATGAATCTAGGAGAACTGGAAGTTGTCAAAAATGAAATGGAATGCATAAAGTTCAATATCCTAGGCATTACTGAGCTGAAATGGATTGGTATTGGCCATTCTGAATTGGACGATCATATGTCTACTATGCCAGGAATGACATACTGAAGTTGAATGGCATCATGTTCATTGTCAAAAAGAACATTTCAGTCTACGAAACACCACATAATAGGATGAACTTGGAGGACATTATGCTGAGTGAGTCCATCACAGAAGGACAGATATTGTATTAGTTCAATATTGTATTAGTATTGTAAAAAGCCAAGGAAAGGTTTATATATGGAATGAAACTTTCTTTGTTGGTTACAAGGGATAAGAGGGGAAGAGAGGGAATAATGTTAGATGGGTAGAGACAAGTATTGAGTTGGGTGAAGGTAAAGGCAATACACCAAATCAAGTGACCAACACAATAACACTAAGACACAGAGTGGTGCATAAGAGGTATAGACAACAAAGATAAACATTTTTACATATACAATACTGCATTATCAGTGACAACAAACATTAATCTAAATAAATGGGTGGACAGGCTGAGTGATCAGGTTATGTCTAGGCAAAAGGGAATATACCCATGACGGCACATAACAACAACAAATACATAAGGTTGGTAGATGATATTTCTGCACACATACCAATATATGCTGTAAGAATATCCTTATAAATAGTACTAATAAGGAACAAAGTCATGATAACTTAACACAGTCAACCACTCTGATGAAGCAAGTTGTTGAATCTGTGGGCTTGGGATCTTTGTCGTGGGGGACATCAAGCTGAATTTGCATAACATGCTACACTAAAACACTGTTCTACATCCTACTTCGGTGAGTAACAACTGGGGTTCTAAAAACTTGCAAGCAGCCATCTAAATGCAACAATTGGTCTCTCCTCCAGAGCAAAGAAGAGTGAAGAAAAGCAAAGACATGAAAATAATTAGTCCAAGGCACCAGTGAACCATGCAAACCTCAGCCTATATGACCATGCAACCAGAAGAACTAGATGGTGCCTGGCTACCACTGTCAACCACTTGGAAAAGGATCTGTGCAGGAAATCCTAGATAGAGTGGAAGAACAATGTGGAACAAAACTCAAATTCATAAAAAAGACCAGGTTTTCTGGTGTGATAGAGCCTGGTAAGACCCCTGAGACTATGGCCCCTAGATCCCCTTCCAGCCAAACAATAGACAGGCATATAGGGTGAACATTTACATCAGGTAGATACACTCTTTAGAACGATCAATCATGGGAGAACAGAAGGGTTGTATTTGCACAGGCAGACAGCTCAGGGGGCAGGAATGCATAGAAAGAAGGATAAAGGGAAGAGGTAACTACAGGGAGGAAGTGGGGAGAAAGCTGTTACACACTGATTACAGTCAATGCCACAAAACAAAATGTATATGAACTGCTGTATGGAAAATTAATTTGCTCTGTAAACTTTTATCCAAGTCACAATTAAAAAAAAAGAAAATTGTGCTCGCTTCAGCAGCATATATACTAAAATTGGAACGATGCAGAGAAGATTAGCATGGCCCCTGCACAAGGATGACATGCAAATTCGTGAAGCGTTCCATATTTTTGGGAACGCTGTTAGATAGATAGAGATAAATATTGATTTGGGTGAAGAGAAGGGCAATGTACCAAATGTGAGTGACCAATATGGCAGCACTGAGGATGAGAAAGACATAGAGAGGTACATAGGAAGTACAGACAACAAATATGAACCCTTTTGCATATACGTACTGAGTTGTCAGTGAAGGCAAACATTGGTATATGGACGGATAGATAGGTGGACAGGCTAAACAATTAGGTATGTCTAAATGGGGAGTGTATCCAAAATCATATATAGGGTTGGCAGACAATGGTCCTATAAGTTTATGTGAGTGATCAGAATTCCCAGGTGTATAGTAGAGCTGACAAGGGGCAAGGTTATGGTCATTACTTGGTCACAGCCAGCTACCCAGAGGGACCGAGTAGTTGATCCTGCGGGCTTGGGACCATAGTCGCAGGGGACATCAAGCTCAATTGGCATAACATACTATACAAAACACTGTTCCACCTTCTACTTTGGCGAGTAGTGACTGGGATCTTAAAAGCTAGCAAGCTACCATCTAGATGCAATGGTGGGTCTCTCCTCGTCAAGAAGAAAGAAGAAAACCAAAGCTAATGGAAACAATCAGTCCTACCGACTGGTACACCATCCGATATGCAACCCATACAACTATGAGACCAGAAGAACTAGATGGTGCCCAGCTACCACTGCCATCCGCTTGGAAGGGATGTAGGAGATCCTGCATAGAGAGGGAGAACAATGTGGAACAAAACTCAAATTCATAAAAAAGACCAGGTTTGCTGGTCCAATAGAGCCTGGTGGAACCACTGAGACTATGGCCCCTAGCTGCCCTTCAGGTCTGGAATTGAACCCACACCTGTGGTTTCCAGGCAAACAAAGTACAGGCATGTGAGTTAAACATTTACCTCAAGTAGACACACGCCCTGGAGAGAACAACCGTGGGAGAAGAAAGGGCTGCTTATGCACAGGGAGACAGCTCAGGTGGCAGGAGAGTATGGAGGGATGGACACTGGGAAGAGGTAACTACGGGGAGGAAGTGGGAGGTTAGCTGTTGCATTGTGGTAAACTGTGGTCAATGACATGCGACAAAGTATATGTGAACTGCTGTATGGAAAGTGAATTTGCTCTGTAAATCTTCACCCAAATCAAAGTAAAATTAAAAAAAAAAAAAATTCAGGATATATCCTGAAGTTCAATGCTGTTAGTGATAGGACAATATCCATAAGTCTACAAGGAAGACTAATATGATATGACTATTATTAAAATTTTTGCCCAAACCACTAAAGCCAAAGATGAAGAAATGAAAGACTTTTATCAACTTCTGCATCTGAAATTGACAAAACATGCAATCAAAATGCACTGACAAGTACTGGTGATTGTAATAGGAAAGTTGAAAGCAAAGAAGAAAGCATCTATATTGGAAAATATGGCCTTGGTGATAGAAATGATGCCAGAGAGTGTATGATAGAGTTTTGCAAGACCAATGACTTATTCATTGCAAACACCTTTTATTCAACAAATAAATGGCAAGTAGACACGTGGACCTCACCGGAAGGAATACACAGGAATCAAATTGACTACAACTGTGGAAAGAGATGATGAAGAAACTTAATTATCATTAGTCAGAACAAGACCAGGGGTCAACTGTGGAATAATCAATTGCTCACATGCTAGTTCAAGTTGAAGCTGAAGAAAATTAAAGTAAGTCCACAAAAGCTAAAATACGACCTGGATTATGTATCACATGAGTTTACAGGCAATCTCAAGATAGATCTGATGCACTGAACACCAATGACGGGAGACCAGATGAATTGTGGGATGACATCAAGAATATCATACATGAAGAAAACAAAAGGTCATTAAAAAGACAGGAAAGGATGAAAGGACCAAAATGGATGTCAGAGGAGACTCTGAAACTTACTCTTGAATGGAGAATAGCTAAAGTAAATGGAAGAAATTATGAAATAAAAGAACTGAACAGAAGATTTCAGAAGGCAGATCAAGAAGATAAAGTTAAGCATTATACTGAAACACGCAAAGACCTGGAGTTCGAAAACCAAGAGAGAAAAATACACTCAGCATTTCTCAAGCTGAAAGAACTGAAGAAAAAAGTCAAGTCTCAAGTTGTAATTTTGAGGGATTCTATGGGTAAAATATCGAATGATACAGTAAGCATCAAAAGAAGATGGAAGGAATACAGAGTCACTGTACCAAAAGAATTGGTCAACACTCAACCATTTCAAGAGGTAGCATATGATCAGGAACCAATGATATTGAAGGAAGAAGTCCAAGCTGCACTGAAGGCACTGGTGAAAAACAAGGCTCCTGGAAGTGACAGAACACCAGTGAGATGTCTCAACAAATGGACGCAGCACTGGAGGCACTCACTTGTTTATGCTATGAAATTTGGAAGACAGCTATACATGGCCAACTGACTGGAAAAGATCCATACTTGATCCAAACAAAGATGACCCAACAGAATGTGCAAATTACCAAACAATATCATTAATATCACATACAAGTAAAATTTTGCTGAAAATAGTTCAAAGTATAGCAGTACATGACAGGGAAATGCCAGAAAGTCAAGTTGGATTCAGAAGAGGACATGGAACAACAGACATCATTCCTGATGTCAGAAGGATCTTGGCTGAAAGCAAAGAATACCAGAAAGATGTTTACCTGTGTTTTATTGACTACGTGAAACACTCAACTGTGTGGATCATAACAAATTATGACTAACACTGAAGAATAGGAATTCCAGACCAATGACTTGTGCTCATGAGGAATCTACACAGAACAAGAGGCAGTTGTTGGAAAAGAACAATCTTGCTTCCTGAAACTAAGGATGACTTAAAGCACTTACTGATGAAGATCAAAGGCTATAGTTTTCGGTATGAATGACACTTCAATAAAGAAAACAATAATCCTTACAACTGGACCAATACACAACAATAAATGGAGAAAAGATCAAAGTTGACAGGGGTTTCATTTTACTTGAACCACAATCAACACCCACACAAGCAACAGTCAAGAAATCAGAAGACATACTGCACCGTGCAAATCTGCTGCAAAAGACCTCTTGAAAGTGTTAAAGAGCAAAGATTTCACCTTGAAGACTAAGATGTGCCTGACGCAAGCCATGGTATTTTCAATAGCCTCATATGCATGTGAAAGCTGGATAATGCATAGTAAGGAAGACTGCAGAAGAACTGATGAATTTGAATTGCGGTGCTGGCAAAGAATACTGAAAATAGCATGGACTGCCAGAAGAATGAACTAATCTATCTTGGAAGAAGTACAGCTGGAATGCTTCTTAGTACAGAGAATGGCCCAACTTCTCTGTCTCACCTACTTCGGTCTTGTTGTCAGAAGGGCCCAGTCTCTGGAGAATGGTATCATGCTTGGCAAAGTAGAGGGTCAGCAAAAAAGGGGAAGACTCTCAAGGAGATAGACCAACAGAGTGGCTGCAAGGATGGGCTCAAGTAAAGCAAAGATTTTGAGGATGGTGCAGGACTGGGCACTGTTTTTTTCTGTTGTAACAGGGTTGTTTATGAGAACAGGCTCAACAGCACCTAATAACAACAACAACACATACTATCATGTGTGCCATTCACAATAAAATAATTTTATTCCCACAATTTGGGGATACAAAATCACGTAAAAAAATTCAATGGGAAAACAACTTTCCATTTTAATTTTGATAACCTGGATTCTTTCAAATGCAATTTAAATTTTCTCCATGGCTCATACCTTGAATAGGTGTCTCTCCTAGCAAGTCCCCTCGCCTGGAGGCATTCAGCTGGTGCCTACTATGTGTCCCTGGATCATGCACTGCCTTTCCAGATGACTCTGATAATACCTGAAGTAAGTGAGAGTTTTCTGAAGTTGCAGCAACCATGGGTCGGAAATAATGCACTGGTCGATAGTCTCTTGGCAACTCAGGTGGTGGATAAATCTTTAAAAGAAAAAACAAAACAAAACAAAATACAGACAATATAGTATGCAGGAAGATTATTCTTGACTTAACCAAGAAAACATGTTCTCTTTGAGTGTCGTTAGTCCCACTCCTTCCCAGGTTAACGTTCAGTACTAGGAAAAGCCTATCCAGCTGGCATCCACTCTGTCTTTAGAAGGTCACTAGAACCACACTGTTCCAATGGTCAGACATTTTCAGTATCATGCCCATCTACTTCTACAGAGATTTCAATATGATAACAATAAAAATGATGACAGCTAATGCAATGCATGGCTCCCATGCAGAACTGGCTCACTATATGTCAGAAAATTTATAAAACATATGACAAGGCTTAGAAAAAAACTATAACTTCAGTTAAATTAGCTTTAAATCCAGAATTCTTTTTCTGGTTAGGTTTCAGTTCCAAATTGAAACTTCACACCCTATTTTTTTCTTTTTTTAATCTATTTATTTACTGCGATGCTGTTGTTGAGAATATATCCAGCAAAACATACACTAACACAACAGTTTCTACATACACCATTTAGTGACACTGATTACACTCTCTGAGTTGTGTAACCATCCTCATTCTCCTTTTCTAGGTTGTTTCTCCCCCACTAGCATAAACCCACTATTTGATCCCATATAGATAATTCTTGAAAGAGAATAATGCTCAAGGCAGACATTTTCTACTAATTGAGCTAATCTACTATTTGGTTTTAAGAAGACTTCAGGGGATATTTTTGATTTCAGGTTTAAGTATGATCTCAGGGTACTAGTGTCAGGGGTTCATCCAACCATCATGACTCCAGGAAATTTGGATTCCATGAGAGAATTTGAAATTCTGTGCTATATTTTTCCCATCTGATCAGAATTCTTCTATAGAATCTTTGATCACAATGTTCAGTAATGGTAGCCGGGCACCATCTAGTTCTTCTGGTCTCACAGCAAGGGAGGCAGTTGTTCATGGAGGCAATTAGCCACACATTCCATATTCTCTTCTTATTTCTGACTCTCCTTCTTCCTCTGTTGTTTCGGGTGAACAGACACTAACTGTTGTGCCTTAAGTGGCCCCCTGCAAGCTTTTAAGAGCGCAGGTACTACACAACAAACTAGGAGTAGAACAAAAGCACTAAACATGTTACTAAACCAATTAACTGATGTCCCATGAAACCGTGGCCCTAAACCTCCAAATCAAGAAACCAAATCCCATGAGGTTTTTGGTTGTATATAAGCAGCCTCAGCAGTTTTTCTGTCTTTCTTTCTTTTTATTATGATTATATCTATCACATAAGTTTTACCAATTCAACTCTTTAGAGGTACACAACTTATTGACAACAATTACCATAATCAACTGTGTAACCCAGCCTTAATCAATGTTATATTTCCATCATGGTCAACCACATCTTTCCCCCTTTCTCTCATCCCTGGTAACCACTAATAGACTTTATTCTCTATACATTTGCTTTCTCTTGTCCTTTTATGTAAGTAAGGTTATGCAATATTTGTCCTTTTGTGACTGACTTATTTCAGGACCAATTTTTGGATCTGAGATATTCTAAAAGCTGACTGAACTGAAACTGAAACTTATTTACGAAATTCAGATATGTTCAATACTGACAGGCATTAATGATGGCAGAACCGATAAAGTCAAGAAAATATTAGATATTTTTTAATTGTAAAAAGACCCTAATGAATGAATGCACTAAATGGTCTCCTCACTCTTGGTGTAACAAACACATATTTATGGACACTACTAGTTAAGCCACTAACTAGGATTTCAATCTTTCTGAAAGCTAGAGTGGAGTCAACTCAGCTCTGGAATCAGAGCCACAGTGAACCCTCTATGCTTGTGGTTCTCAAATAGGGCTACACGTGAACTCAGCTGGGGAGTTTTAGCAATACTGATGTTTCATGCTCCCCAAAAAGTCTGGTATAATTGTACTTTTCCAAGTCCCCCAGGTATTTGTTTGTACTGTACAGCCTGGGTTGAGAACTCAGCACTTAAGCAAGAAAGTCCATAAAACACTATTGTCATCATTGGGAAATCTGGTCAGCACAGCTGGGCCCTGCTTAGGCAGGGAGTGAAGAGGGGAGACACCCTCAGGTGAGATTCTGTACAATTCTTTTTGCTAAAAATAATTGTCTTTCATCTACTTAACTTTTTTCTTTTTAAATCTTGGCCTGATCACCTTTTCTCAACACCTGGACTCCCACATCAGCTAACAAACACTCTCATGTTACTGCCACACAAAACACCAGGAGGAGGAGCATGGCAGAAAGGGTGTGTGCACGTGATTCTTCTTTATATGCGCCATTAGAGTCAAAGCATTTCTCTCCCCATGCTAACTCATTACCTTTAGTGCCAGGGGCTGAGTTTTAACCATGTTTAGAAAACTTGCCTGTGAATTACTAGATGAGCCCTCCTCTGAATCATTCACACCCAAAGCTTTGTTCCAGGGAAGAGCCTCCTTAGGAACCCCCAGGACACTGTCTCCCATTATGGCACTCCAAGGCTTGCTAGTTGCTATGATGATGAACAGGTTTCAGCAGAGCTTCCAGAATAAAATGGACTAGGGAGAAAGCCCTGTTAATCTACTTCCCAAAATCAGTCAATAATAAAAACCTTATGGATCACAATGGTCTGGTCAGTAACCCATCACAGGGACGGCGCAGGACAAAGTAGCATTTCATTATGCTATGCATGGGGTTGCCATGAGTTGGGCCAACTCAAGAGCAGTTAACAGGAACAACCACCTCACTACAATGCATTTGCCTGTCTGGCACCCTCAAAGGATGGGAACTACGTGAGGGCTATGACATAGTCTTATTTATCCTTAAATCCTGAGAGTCAAGTGAGTACTTCTCAACCTCTTAAAAACTATGTTCCCTGTATTTTTTTTTAGGAATAAAAAACTATGCTCCCTTTTCATAAAGGCAAAAACTCACATTCTCCTTTAATGCTGCTTGCCATATCTGGTAATAATAGTAGCTTACTGTGTGCCTGACACTGTTCTACTTATTTGACATAAATTCACTCATTTAGTTCTCCAGCAACACTCTGAGGTAGGTACCATTATTATTCCCATTTTACAGATCAGAAAACTAAAACAAGTGAGGTCAATAACATGCCCACAGTGATCAGAAGTGAGTGGCAGACCTGGGCTAGAGACCCAGGCAGCCTGGCTCTAGTGCCACTGCTCTTAGGCATCAGGCTAAGCTGTCCACTGTCACAACACATTATGTGACACAACTAAACAAATTAAAGCCACTATAGTATCAAATATAATTTTGGGGGTTACACTGCCCACTAGGCTCCTGTCTTCTGGAGGCCTAGCCTTAGAGATACATAACAAATGTTGGTTGAATGAAAAACAAAAAGTTCATTAAAGTGGGGAATGATCTGAAAAAGGAATGCTAACAAGGCAAAAGGCCAGCACAACTCCTGAGCTACCTCACACCTACAACTGACTCCAGAGTATGTGGTAATGACACCTGTGCTGCGAGCAAGAGCTTAGATGACTATTAAAGGAAGAGGCCCTGCCTGGCGGGGCAGCTGCTTGGCCTAAGAGCAGATTTTCACATGAAGCTGTAACAAAATCTCACAAATACAAAATGATCTGGAATGGTATTCAGAGTACTCCATGAGACTTGACCCATGTACACCCGGCTTCTCTCCCTTCCACTCATTCTCTGCAAGAGGTTCAGGGAACCCTGCCCACACTGGCTAATGGTCAAGACCATGAGTTATTATGGTTTTTTTCAAGTTTTATACAATATGAGTTGCTGAATGGGAATCTAATTTGTTGTATAAACTTTCACCTAAAACATAAAAATATATTTTAAAAAATGTTTTATATTTTTCCTTAAATTACATTGCCCCTAGAGTTGTATCAGGAGCTCTGCTGACATAGTGGTTAAAGCATTCGGCTACTAACCAAAAGGTTGGTGGTTTGGACCCACCAGCTGCTCTGCTGGAGAAAGATGAGGCAGTCTGCCTTGGAAACCCTATGGGGTAGTTCTACTCTGTCCTACTGAGTCACCATAAGTTGGAATCGACTAACGGCAAGTGGATTGGGTTGGGTCTGGGTAGAATTATATCAATTTCATTCCCATGCCTATTTTTAGCATATTTCTTTTTTAATGAAAATAACAGCTCACTTGAATTTGGAATTTAAAAGATTAGTAATTTGGGTTTTGAATGTAATGTAGCTACTGATTGACATTTCTAATATAGACTATTTCCCTGGACAATTACTACTAAATAGGCTATTGTTTTCTGAAAATATGATTTACTTGTTTTTTAATTGTTAATATAATAAATAGACTATATAGCACCAAATATTTTAAACACTAAAACCATTAAAAAAATAATAATAAAGTTTTTCTTACTTTCTTATATGATAAGGATTTAGAAGCCAAGGAAAATCCATCCAAAATTTTGCCAATGTATCGAAGATCTTTCTCTGGTTCTACAAAACGATATAACTGATTAACTCCAGAGGCAAAGAAGATTAGAATAAGACAGAAGCCATTTGAAGTTTATCTCTAAGAACATAAATACTACATGTCACACATGATATCATTCAAAGATAGTACAGAAAGAAGGCATTTAAACGCTCACACCTCTATTGACTCAGTGACTGGTGGCCCAGCCCACACTACTCTCAGATGATTAGGCTGCCCAGGACTCAAGGGTATGGCCCTACAAAACAGGTACCTCCACAATGATTTTAGAAAACGTCCCTCAGACCTTAAGCTAAGGGTCACCAAAAAATATACTCAGTGCAGTAAAAGGCCTCAAGAAAAACAATGAAAAGGTCAAATATGGATAAAATAATAATCATAACTATGTGAGAATCATTTCTAAAAGTAGGTGGGAAAACCACTGGGAGACCACCTGTCAACTTCCTGAGTAATTATACAAATAAGACATGAAAAGCTAGGCTATCTTGTAATCTAATCTTAGTATAAATTAAAAGGTACTTTTATCTTTTTTCAAATGAATTCCAACAAGAGATAAAAATCATAGACTTAGGAAACTGAACAGCCAAGGCACTAGGACTTGAAGCCAAGGATTTCTGCTGGTCATAGAGTCAACCCAATGACAATGGCCCCTCAATTCTCAAGGATTTTCCACACACAGTAGTTATATCAAAAGTGTGTATGCACAAACTGCATTTTCTGTGGCAAAGAAGCCCCTTCTGCACATAACCATGAGTGCTTACACAAGGCAGGTGCTTAGCCCTGAGCCAGGCACTTCTGCCTGCCCTGCAGAGCAGGGCTGAGATTTTCAGCAGGTGATAACAATACCCCACCATGTAGTTATCTCTCCCACAAGATGATTCTTTGTGCTTCTGAACGTTCCTAAAAATCTATCATTCAGAATTAAATTTCATATTTTTGGTATTTTGTATTCTTTTAAAACCCAGAAATTTCTTTTCTATTAATTCTTCTTAAATTATAAAAAATAATGCAGTGTCTTGGTAAAAGAATCAAAAAATGCAAGTAAACAAAAGGAAGAAAATAAAAGCAGCCTAAGATCCCACCAAGTAGGCCAGGTGGCACAATGGTTAAGCATTTGACTACTAACCAAAAGGTCAATGGTTTGCACCCACCCAGTGGGCCTGTGGAAGAAAAGACCTGGCAATCTGCTCCCATTAAGATTACAGCCTAGGAAACCCTATGGAGCATTACTACCCTGTCACAGAGGATCATTAAGAGTCAGAATTGACGTGATGGCAAGTAACAGTAACAAGATCCCACCATCCAGGGTAACCCCCAGTAATACTCAGATACATACCCTTCCCACTGCCTTGTATAAAACGCTTGGTTCTCTTTGTGATGATGACAGAGACTTCTCATTTACACAGTGCTTGCTGTGTGCCAGGCACGTTCTAAGCCCTTCACATACATGAAAATCTCTATGAAATAGGTATGTCACCGTCATTCCCACTTTTCAGACAAGAACATTGAGGCACAGAGAGGTAAACAAACTTGGGCAAAGTCACAGCTAATAAATGGGGAAAGCCAAACCCAGGCAGTTGTCGCCAGGGTTTGTGTTCATAATCGTTAAGTTAAACATTCTCTAAATACTGTTTTTCACCTGCTTTTTTCTTGTCTAGAAATGTAAAATAAACATTATTCTTGGGGGTGATGCTTACATTTATATCTTCTTCGGTAATCCTTTGATTATTTCAGCAGGTATATTATAGATGTATCTTACAAGAGTTAGGCAAACTTTTATCTAACTACAGTTACAAAATGTCTGAATAGGTTATTTTCTATCGTGTCTTACCTCCTGTACTGAATTTAGGTTGTTATTACCATAATCACAAGAATAGGAACTGCCATTCATTCAGTCTTTGTGGCCACTCACAACCCAAGCAGATTTTTATCCTCACTTTATAAATGAAGACTGTGATGCCTAGAGAGGTTTCGAGCCTTGCCCAAGGTCACATGGCTGGACAGTGAAGAGTCTGGATCTAAATCCAGATTTAAATGACTCAAATCAGATGCTACTAAGACCTACTCTACACCATCTCCTCCCTGTACTTTTTCTGAAAAGAAAAACCGAATCCTGTTTAGAACCACAGAATCTGAACCCATTAACTGTGGCTTGAAATTCAGGTTGTGTAAGATCTCCATCCCTATCGCAAACAAGAGCACACTAGAGGTCAGGGACTCAAGTTAGGAGACAGGCTGGGCATTTAGCTCCACCTTGCTGCAGGCTCTCAGTATACCTGCTACCTGGTTCCCAAGCCTGGCCTTCTGTTCCACTGCTTCAGTTTCCCTACTCTGGCCACCAGTCCAAGCTCTGACTGCTTCCCTATAACCCCCTGCCAACTGTGACTGCAACATGAGTACCTGTCTATATACTGATTGCTTTCTAATCCCAGGCCTATGCCTTCTCCCTACCTTGGCCCCCTCTCAACAGGTGCCTTTGGCCTTGGCCTGGTCTAAATCCTGCATCTGTCTTACTTCCAGCACTAGGTCTCTTTTCCTCTCACTTGTTTCTCACATCACATCTCTGACCAGCAACCACCTACTCTGTGAAGTCTGACACTCCAGCGTCAATCCTATAATCCTTTCTTTCTGATATTGTAACATTTGGTTCTACCATTGGTTGTGGGTCTATGGAGTTACCTTTCTGACTTTTATACTGCTTGGGTGCTGTCCAGCCATAAAGCCCATCTCCAGGCTCCTCGTCTTTTAAAACGGTGTCATATTTGGCTAGAGTTTCTGTGGCGTATATATCATCATCTTCCTCTTCCAGGGCACCTACACCAAAAGCCTTCAAAAAAACAAGGTTTCAAAGTGAGCAATTACAGGTTCCAAGCATGCCACATGCCACAATGAAAAGACCACCTAAGCACTTTAAGGAAACCAATGGGAGAAGTCAAAGAGAATCCCAGAATAACACACACTCAAGTGTCTTAGAAAATAATGACTAGAAGCAAACGCCAGCCTCCAGCATTGGGCTGTCCTCTAACTCCAGCAGCAGCCACATTGTTCTAACACAAAGAACAAGAATGAAGGACACACCCAAGCAGAAGCGAGTGCAGGGGCAGAAGTGGGACCTCCAAAAGGAGAAAGGGAGAAATGTTCCTGCACCAAGCAACACTGCCTGGGCCAGTGCTGCAGCAAAGACCAGAAGGCCACCTGATCTTCTGTGGGGAATGACCTCCAACAAGTTCAGCTTTTATGAAAAGGATTGGGAAAAAAAAAAAAACCCACATAGAAAAGAAAAAGTAATAAGGAAATAACAAAGCAACCATTTTCTAAATGCATTTTAAGAGAAAACTTTTGAATTGATTTGAGAGGATGTATTATTCAATAAAAGCTCTCCATCTCTCCAAAGGTAAAAAGCAAGTTTCCTGAGTGAAAACTAAACCCGTGTACACAGCTTGGGGCTTGCAGCACTAGGAAATAGTCTCTAAGAGGTAGGAAAATTTAGACCTAAGCTCAGGCAGATTTCAATTTGACTATTAACTAAATCAAAGGAGTAAACATGGTTTTCTGCTCAACCCCAGAAGTACGTAGGAAAGTGGTTCTCACTCCTGGGACCAAACAAACTCCACCACGACTACTCAGTGACAGGGTCTCAGGAGCAAGTTATTAAAATCAAAAGGATGTATGCTTTACATATCTTCAGAAAAGATCCTAAGGAAAATGTAACTATTTCAAAGCCTTCATTTATTCAATGAAAAATGTGGGCATACTATGGGGCACATATAATAAGCAAAGTATACTCATTTTTCAATGGTTTCACATTTATAAAACAGAAACGTTTTTACCTGGCCTGTAATTCCCAACTTTCTTCCTTTATTTAGTCCAACATCTCCAAGAAGATTGCTGGCCCTCTCAGATCCTGGGCTGAAAAGATTAAAATGTTCTCCCGAAGTTCCAAACAGTGCTTGGCTGGGATCCAGGCCCTTGTAAGCCAGCCCATGTACATTATCTTTAGGTGTAAAATCCACAGGTGTGACATCTTTGGGTGCAAAGGTCACATTTTCAGGCAGGTAGTCATCATCTTCATCCTGTTTCCAATGTTTAAAGTCGAATTAAAGTGAGTCACTCTGTGGCCCAAAGTAAACCTGTCAAATACTATTTGAAAATGCAGTGATTAATTACAAATATAAGAATTAGCAAATCTTTATTTATGCTATTACAAATGACTTAATCAAATCCCTGAACAAATGATGCTAACACAACTCCATTTTAAGAATCTGAACACTCATGGTATCTATGGTGCTAGCATGTTGCTGAACACATTACCTGATTAAAAACCAAAACCAAACTCACTGTCATCAAGTTGATTCCAACCCACAGCAACCCACACTGAGTTTCCAAGGCTATAAATCTTTATGGAAGCTGACTGCCTCATCCTTCTTCTGCAAAGCAGCTGTGGTTTTGGACCACTGACCTTTTGGATAGCAGTAAAAGGCCTTAACCACTACACCACCAAGGCCCTTTCATTACCTGACTAGAATATGGGTATTTCATTGTAATGGGATTTTGACTGGTTTTTTTTTGTGTGTGTGTGTTTTGTTTTAAATTATTTCTGACCCAAAAACTTCATGCTCATAAAGTAACAAATGCTACTGAACCAAATGGAAAGTCAGTTATCTGATATCATACCTCAGATCCTTCAGAGGCTCCAGGGGGTAAAGCACAGCCATAGATTTTTATGGCAGGATCTATAAAAGATACGTCAAATGCACTAGTCATAAGTGACTGGAAATATAAAAGCCCAGCTCACTGACATCTTCAGATGTACATGGCTGCCATGTGACTTCACTGAGCTTATAAAAGGTGCTACAGCATTCAGGTCAGAGGATGATCACTCCAGAATTGTTTGCCATCAGCCCATTCTCCACCCACATGCTGGCAATAATATGCTCAGTGAGTAACCTCTACTGCCCCAGCCCTTTCAAGAAACGATTGCTGCCCTCAAAGAGTTCACAGTCTGACTAAGAAGAGTAAGGGCAAGAGTACACAGAAAACAATGATACTGAACAGTATCAGAGATACTATTTTTCTCTACCAATATAGCAAAAATTAAAAGAAAAAAGTATTGATGAAGATGGGAAACAGGAACTTTTTACACTTCTGGCGGGAATATAAACTACTTTGATTATTCAGGAAAGCTATTACGTATTATACATAAAATGCCTTGAAAAACAGGCACACCTCCTCACCTAGCAATTTTATTTCTAGAAACATGTAGCCATTAAAAAGTACGCTGTAGAAGTAATGACAGTCTATATACATACCAGGTTTTTGTCGGCGTGGTCTTCTCTTCACTCGGGGACCAACTCCTTGTCCTTCCTTCCAACCCATTTTTCTCAGCAATTCAAAACCAATAGATAATCTAGGACAGCAAGCATTAAGCATGAACTTCTTCTAATAACATTAGAGAATAGTACAAGATAACCAGCTTTTGCGTTCCTGGACACCTAAACTGGAGAAGTCAGTCAGATAGCCTCTCTTCTGAGCATTTGGATTGAGCACATAAAGACTCTGGACAGTTTTTCTTAAGCATGTAGCCTGGAATACCAGGAAGGTCTGAGGCTGCCACATCAGGCCACATGCCATGGTACAAAATAAGGAGGTTTGCAGAAAAAAATCAGGAAGAATGAGGCAGATAGGTTAGAATTCACAAGGTCTGTGAGAGAGGGGGCAAGACGACAGCCACCCCACTTCCTAACAGCACTCCAGCTTCTGCGAGCGCCAGTAGCATGGTCAGCAGAGGGATCTCTTCAGTTCCATGCAACAAGGCGCTACCCTTTTGCCCATGTCCCCTAATCCACTAAGCTGGTCGAAAAAGTTTTCTCTTCTAAGATAATCATGCAAAGAGGTAATGCCAAGAATAGAAAAGTCAGAGTTAAATTATTCTCACTTTGCTGGTGCTATGAAGTCATCAAGCAGAGTAGCTCCAGGAATAGGGGCGGTAGCAGCTGCCAACTGCCTGGCCTTCTCTCGTATTCTGTCTTTGGTTTTGGAAGTAAAATCATCTGTGGTAACAATTGCTTTAGGTGCGATCCCAAATTCACTAAGATCCTTAAAAAACATTCAAACAGAATTATGTACATTTCTATTGCAAACATAATTAAGCATGACACATGGGAGCTCTGGTAGCATAGTGCCTAAGGCACTTGACTGCTATCCAGAGGCCTGGCGGTTCAAACCCACCAGCCACTCCTCGGAAGGAAGGTTGGGCAATCGTACTTCCGTAGTGATACTGCCTCGGAAACCCAAGGAGGGGTCGCTGTGAGTAGGGGCCGACTCGACGGCAAATAACAACAACAACAACATCATATAGTTTTATTTATTTTTAAAAAGAATTTCAATGGAATACTATGCAACACTAGAGAATAATGTAAAATCTGTGAAACACTGTGTAACATGGAGAGGACACTGTGCTAAGTGAAATAAGTCAATCACAGAAGGACAAATATTGTCTTAGTTCACTATTGTAAAAAGTCGAGGAAAAGGTTTAAAATAAATAAATAGAGTCTAATAGAGACTGGTGAAATCCCTGAGACTACGGCCTCTAGTCACCCTTCGGGCCTGGAATCGAAATCACTCCTGTGGCTTCCAGCCAACTAATGTTGTTGTTGTTATGTGCCATCGAGTCGGACCCAACTCAGAGCGACCCCTCCTTGGGTTTCTGAGGCGGTATCACTACGGAAGTAGATTGCCCAACCTTCCTTCTGAGGAATGGTTGGTGGGTTTGAACCTCTAGCCTTCTAGTTAACAGTCAGGTGCCTTAGGCACTATGCTACCAGAGCTCCCAGCCAAATAATAGATAGGCATATAAGGTGAACATCTATACTATGTAGGCACACTCCTTAGCACAATCAACTGTGTGAGATCAGAAGGGCAATATTTGCTCAGGGAGATAGATCAGAGGGCAGGAATGCATAGCAAAGAAGGACACAGGGAAAAGGTAATCACAGAGAGGAAGTGAGAAGAGAGCTGTCATATTATGGGGATTGCAATAAATGTCATCAAACAAAATGTGCACGGACTGTTGTAATGGAAAATCAATTTGCTGTGTAAACTTTCGCCCAAATCACAATTTTTTTTAAAAAAAGCTGAAACTACAAAATTTAGTTAGGCATCAAGAGAGGAGTGGCTGACTTTACCCATTGACTTTCGAACAGCATCTTCACATAAGCTAAGGTCAGTGGCCAAGGGCAGGGCATGATGGTGGCTGCTCAGTGGGGCCACAAGAGGCACTATTACCAACCTGGGAGAAACAGGAAGTAAGGGCCAAGTTCTTCTTGACAACTGGTCAAAGATCAGTGTGAAGGAAGCAAATTTTAGATTCACAACCAGCAAACATTTGTAAGGATTTGTGTGACAAGCTTTGAGTTAAGTGCTTTTGTGTTTACTGGAGCACATACTGCTGGCTATCTCTCCAACAGCCATTCTCCTTCTTTCTGCACAGAGCATTGACGCTGTCCAGGCACCTGCTTTCCTCTGTGCTGACACAAGCTTCAGGACTGAGTGGACCACCCCAGTGTCAGTGCACAGGCAGAGGGAGGAAGCGTTCCTGTCTTATCTAAGCCAGTCATTTTGACCCTATTTCCCTCGCCAGGGACTCCTTTAGGAATGGGCATGTGAAACAATTTGCCCAAGTAGATGTGAGGGAAAGTATACTGTAGGACTTCTGTGAAAGATTTCTCTACTCACAAGAAAATACACCAAGAAAAAAGTCCTCCTTCCACTGAGTATTATCCTGGATGTGCCACCCAGCACTACTACAACCAGGACAGCTAGTTGAGGACAAGCTGACAGACAGAGGATGACTGACAGGAGAGGACCTGGGGCCTCACATTGACATGTAGACTTCCTGCTACATGAGATATGTTTCTTTATAGGTTTGTTTCCTTACCCTAGCCAAATAAGAAGGGGGCCTACCCTTTTCTCTTACTTGAAAGCCCAAAGCATACTGATATTTTTTTTTCCCAATCTTCACCACATATGAATCCATGACTAGGTATTAAGGTAATAAGTTTAATTTTAAAACAAAATTACAGGTTGGTAGTAACTCTTTAGAAACCGTTACAACCCCTCATTTTCCCTGAAGAAGTTGATGGTCAGTGTTTCCCTTGACAACGTGCCCCAGACAGCTGCATGTGGTTTCCTTTCACTCTTTCTCTAGTCTAGTCATTTATTCACTATTTCTCAAGCTGAAGAGTTACTGTAGAAGGCTCCAGACTCAGAACCATAGATACCACACATCTAGAACAATCTGAGGACTTTTCAAGTAATATTTCCCTACATGATTTCTCCTTACTTTGAAATTGGCCCAGCATAAAATGCTACTCCAATGTGAAAATTCATTTATGTACAGGACACTGTTATCCAAATATGTAAGAGATAACACCTTACAAACAAAGAGGAAATCACACATAGGACTTTCTGCGGCGAGTGAAAGTGTCACTACAATGAACTACACACATCTCACTGGCTAACTGGCAATTAAAGTGCTGTACACCCACCTCTTCATCCATAAAATCTTCAGGACCAAGAACAGATTTGTCGGCTCTGTTTTGTCGTGAAGATACAAAGGTAGTTGGTGTCCATCCTGAAAGAAAAGAATTTAGAACTTTACAATCCTTGCTAGTATTTTGGTTTATAATGAGGTAATTACATAACATGTACAGACTTGATACCCCCAATAACTACAAACTCTGTAGCTACTTCCCAGGGCTACTTCTATATAGCATCTTGTTCCTACTAACTGTTACCTGAGTCACTCAGCTCATCTTCTAATCATAACTGAGATATATAAAGCCGACTTCTTCCAGTTAAAAAAAATATTTCTATGTATGGCAGTTAAGTTGTGTGTCAACCCGGCTGGGCCTAGTTATGAGTGGCTGAGTAGATGGATGTAGTTATTCCCCACGATGAGACTGGTAATCGACTCCATGGTGGAATCTACTGGAGCAGCTGAGTAGCTGCCTTAAGGATGTGATCTGCTTCCAGTATTATAAGAAGCACTGAGAAAGGTCTCTGAGCTGTTTGGCACCCTTGGACCCTGCATGTACCTAAGTCTTCACTCAGCAGCCTGACATGTTGTCTGCCAATCCTGGGATTGTTTCTGGACTTGAACCAGTGGCCTGCCATGTTGTCTGCTCTGCTAGGGACTGTGCCATTTTCCTTGTCGACCTTGGGTTTGTCAGCCTCAGCAGCCAGCAGCTGCCTGAGTTAAGAGATGCCTCTAGCTCCAGTGGGCCAGGAACAAGAGGCAGAGCTGAAGCCCAAGGTCGAGGCCGTAGAGCCTGGCACTCTGAACTCAGACTTCTAGCCTCCTAAACTGTAAAAGAAGAAACTCCTGTTTGTTAAAAAGCCATCTACACCTGTGGTATTTTTTGTGAGAGCAACACAAGAGGTAACCAAAACACTATGTTAAACCATCAGAAAGCACAGTACTTTAAGCAATATGGAGTTTATTATACTGCATAATGTGAAAATTTTAATTTACTTGGTGCAGGTTGAGAGCACGTCCTAAGCAGTGGTGCTGTGGTCCCCAGTGTTAGTAGAGCAGCACTCGTGGTTCCACCTACAGCTCTCTCTACCCACACGTTGGCTCCTCAACTGCTCTGATCCTCAGCAGACTCGGCTCCAAAAGAGCTGTGACACAGGCCCCCCGCGTCATGTGGGGACCGAGAGACAGTCAATGTTTAACTGAATAAATCTGCATGAGTACTTTGTACACAGCAAGACATGATGAAATGGAAGTCATTATTAACATGTAATCATCTGATTAGAGTGCGTCTGTTTTAAAGAAAGAAGAAGAAAACTCTTTCACCTTCAAGTTGTAATCAATGAACAATCAAAAAGTTACCTCTGGAAACATTCCAAACATTCAAAGAACACCCAAGACTACAGCGTATACACCACGAGGTTTAAAGAAGTTTAAAGAAGGGAAAGGGTGAATCTTCTGATATTTCAATCATTTGCTTTAGCAATTTAATGGCTATAAATAGGAAAGTCATACCTTCTTTTGAGCCAACTGTATTGAAATATCCCGCAGAGAAACCTCCACTGAAGGCTCCATGAAATCGTTTATACCTTCCTTTTTCATCTCTGACAGTCTGATCCTGAAGCGGAATTGGTTTCTTTGGTCTTTCACCTAAAAAGAATGTTCGCGAATGGGAAAGAAGGAAGGGGAAAGTGGGTTAGTGACAAACATTTAGTGGGTTAGGAAGCATTTAGGGAAAATATTGTTTCCTAACCATAAATTTTCACTTTTTCTAACTTCAACTATAACCATTTTAACTAAGTTGCTAATCCTATACTTTAGTAGCATACATGCTTTAAAAAATAATATATTTTATCAAGCTTCTTTATAGTTCCAAGATGAATGTAAGCATTCCTTAATGATACTAAAAATGTGTTTTGGCAAAACTGGCCTGCTTTTTTCCCAGAATTCCATTATGAAAACCAAATTATTGTGAAAGGTATCAAAGAGATAGAGTTCAAATCTCCCAGGAATAAAGAAGGCAAGATGCCGGGATCGCACATGACCCACAGAGGTCTGGGACAGGAGGAATACTTATATATCTGTTGTAGAACTAGACAGCATTTCCTGACTCCAGAATTCTTCCTTTGGTAGTGGCCCATAATCCCCAGGTTTTAAAAGTGCTTTATTTCTGACAATCTCTTGATTCCATAGTTACTGTTCTTTAAACTTATTCCTTTTCCTATTTTGTTAAAAAGGGCTCTGTTGCTACATTACACAGGCAAAAGGAATTTAATACATTTCAGCCTAGTCTAAAAATTCCTTAGGTTTAAAGTTTCAGGTACTATAATACAAATTACTGCCTAATTTTATCAACGCCAATTCAAGATTCTGAATTTATTTAAAGGAAAAAGTGATCATAAAGTTATTTTCAAAGCTTCACTACATAAAGTAAGTTATATAATAATTAATGTTTGGCTAACATACTACACAAAAATAAGTTTCTACATCCTGCTTTGGTGAGTATCAATGGGGCCTTAAAAATTTGCAAGTGGCCATCTAAGATGCAACAATTGGTCTGTTTTAACCCAGAACAAAGAAGAATGAAGAAAATCAAAGACACATGGAAAAAATTAGTCCAAGGGACTAGTGGACCATGCACACTTCAGCCTACATGACCCTGAGACCAGAAGAACTAGATGATGCCCAGCTACTACTACCAACCACTCAGAAAGGGATCAAAATAGGAAATCCTGGACAGAATAAGAGAAAATTGTGGAACAAAACTGAAAATCATTTAAAAAAAAAAGAAAAAAGAAAAAAAAAAAAAAAAAGACCAGGCTTACTAGTCTGATACAGACTAGTGAAACCTCCAAGACCATGGCCCCTAGTCACCCTTGGGAGCTGGAACTGAACTCATTCTCATGGCTTCCAGCCAAACAATAAACAGGCCTACAAGGTGAACAATTACTGCAGGTAGGAACACTCTTTAGAACAATCAGCCATGGAGATCAGAAGGGCAGCATTTGCTCAGAGGACAGGAATGCTGCTAATCTTCTGATTAGTAGTCAAACACCTTAGGCTCTGTGCCATCAGAGCTCCGGAGGAAAGAAGGACACAGGGAAAAGGTAACCACAGAGAGGAAGTAAAAAGAGAGCTATTATACTGTGGGAATTGCACTAAGTGAATATCACAAAACAAAATGTGTAAGAACTGTTGAATGGAAAACGAATTTGCTCTGTAAACTTTCACCCAAATCACAATTTAAATAATAATAATAAATTACTTTTTAAAAAATTGTTAATACATAAGGGTTGAGAGTCACAGTGCCCTAGATTTCAAAGCCAACTGCAAGACTTAGGTCAACTTAAACTTGCTACACATCGGTTTCTTCATCTGTAAAATGTGGATGACAGTGACAGTAGTAGCTATTATTATGCAAGTTAATAAGATAATGCCTGTAAGGTGCTTAGAAGAACAGGACACACAATAAAAAAGTGCTAGCTACTATTGCTATTATTACTACTACTAGGTACAGTACATGAGATACTAAAGTCCATATGTAATAGTTACTTCAATAATTAAGCTAGTTCATACTTCTAGAAACTAGAACAAAAAGTGAAGGAACTTCAAGCCCCATAGTCCTAAATTCTAACCCATAGCACGGAAGTCTTTAGGTCATTCCTGGAATATAACCCCAGCAGGGTAATCAAGAGCCCAGGTTCTGAAGACCAAGAGATCTGAGTTTAAAATCCCCCCGCCCTAACTGTCTCGGAAACCCAAGGAGGGGTCGCTATGAGTCGGGTCTGACTTGACGGCACATAACAACAACAACAACAACCCTAACTGCTAGCTTTGTGACCCTAAGGAAGTTATTTAATCACCAAACCTCAGTCGCCACAACTGTAAAATTATGGTAATAAGAGTCTACCTTGTACAGTGGTGAGGAGGATTAACTATCGGGTGCAGAGAGCTAACACCTGGCATAGTGAAGGCCAGTATATATATAGTAGCTCAATTTCATTTCACTCTAGTGAAGTGAACTACAACTTTGGTCCCACTATCCAAGATTTTCACTATTTCTTAGGAATGCAGTACACACACTCCATACACACACTCCATTATGGCATGTGCACCCGGCACGATTCCTGGTTTAGGCCCCGTGTCTTGTCCTCAGCTCTAATGACAGCTAGGGCAGGATAATTCTTTGTGTTGAGAGGCCTGTACTGTGCACTGAGATGCTTAGCAGCATCCCTAGCCTCTACCCACTTGATGCCAGCAGTATCCCCACGCCAACTGTGGATGACTGTCACAAACAAAAATGTCTCCAGACATTGCCAAATGTCTCCTGGGTGACAAAATCACCCTGGCTTAAGAACCACTGGACTAAGGTGAGAGAGGGTAGGGCCTGTCAGTGCTAGGCATTGTTCTTATTCTGTTCTTGAAGTGCCTCTGATCTGAAGGGGAGATAAGATCTGCAGACAAGTAAGTGGGACCTGTGGTGGCAGGTGATGAAAGCCAAGCAGTGCAGCCAACGAGGTCCCACAGGGTTTCTGAGGGGGAGGCCCACCTCTAAGCATAAGACAAGGGAAACTCCAGGGAGGATGTGGCATTTTAGCCAGGTCCTATAATACTCCCCTCCTTTCACATACACTATCTCATTTACCACACTGTTACAGATAAGGACACCCTGATTAAGCAACTGGCCTGAGGTCTCCAGCTAATAAGCACAGAGCTGAAGCCAGGTCTCAGCTCTGTCTGCCTCCAAGTCAGGGATGCCACCCATACTGTCCTTCACTCATTTCCCAATGTAAAGTTTACTGAGGGCCTTGCCAGGGAAACAGCCCTGTTTCATACTGTGGGTGTAGAAAACTAAGCACAATCTCACCACCCCTAATCTCAGGCTACTCAGAGCTCAGCAAAGGAGACTGCTGTGTGTACCAGAACTCTTTTGCCAATGTGCAAGGACATCAGTGATGAGCTGAACTCTGATAGCTGCAGACTGAGATGTAATTCCCAACAGAGGCATTAACTTCCATGAGTAAACAAAAAGAGGAATCAAAAAGCAACATTAGGTACACCGAGAAAGTAGTCCAGTCTGACTGGAGAACAGGGAAGGAGTGGAAGACAGAAGCAGAAATGCAGAGGCCTTGAACATCGTGCTGCAGGGTCATCGTATGTTCTGTGGGTGGTGGAAACCATTGACAATTTTAAGTAGAGAGTAAGAGCATTGAGGAGAAAGAAAATGGTTCTAAAATTAAGAGTTGGGGATAGGGAGTCTTCCAGACACAAGTGAAAACCTCTAAGGAAAGAGGAGGTAAGTACTGGAGGCCCCATTCTTCTAGGTCAGAGGGCCCATGTGTCTAGAAAGTTCTAGGCTCCCTGGTTTTTTGTTTCGTTTTTTACTGTTTTTCATTATTAATATGCTTATGATTATCATTTTTTAAACTGTGATAAAATATATGCAACAAAACATTTGCAAATTCAACAATATTAAAATGTACTTATCAGTGATACTGACTATGTTCATCATGTTGGGCAACCATCACCACTAACCCTTTGCAAATTATTCCACCTCATGAACTGACATGCAAACAAACAAACAAAAAACCCAAAATCATTACAGTGTAGTCAATTCTGACTCACGGCAATCCTATGAGCCCTGGTGGCACAGTGGTTAAAGAACATGACTGCTAACTAAAAGGTTGGAGGTTTGAACTTTTGGCTATTGTGAATAGTGCTAAAACAAACATTAATGTGTAATTTCTGTTTGTGTTCCTGCTTTCCACTCTTTTTGATATATAAATACATACATGCATACATACATATCTATACATATATACAAACATATACATATGTAAACATCTACCTACTTAGGATTGGGATTGCTGGGTCGTATGGTAGTTCTATGTTCAACTTCTTGAGGAACTGCCAAACTGTTTTCCATAGCAGCTACATCATTTCCCTGGTTAATTCTTACCCAGAAAAACTTTCTGTCAGAGCCAGCAGCATTAATTAAGGCATAGAATTCATTCTCTACCAATGTTTGTCTAACCTATCAACAAACTTCAAAGCAAGGAGTAAAAGTGATTATTGGTCGAGTATGTTACGTTGCGATATGTAGTCAGAATGCATTTAAACCTCAAAGTGCTTGGAAAACAGTAAACTAATTCTCAAAAACTGAGAAGTTAAAGGATGTTTTTAGATCATAAAAAGAAATCACAAATCAAATATCCATTCCTTCCACTTCAACAGTATGGTTAGGCCATTTGGCTTCACTTCGGCTTTTGCGTACCATAAAAAGAGGAAAAATTAGAAAAACATAAGTCAAATCATCATTGGATGACTTATTATAACCATCACTTTATAAGAGAACTGTGAAACCAAAATGTAGAAAGGATATGAACCGCTGTCTGACACTGCTGTAATAACTTCCATCTGTGCATGTTGCACCAAGTCTTTTCCCTGCATACCTAAACTTTAACGAGTTCTCAAGTAACTCTATTCTTCCTTCTAAAGCATCACCTGTCAGCCCGTGCAGGTTGTTTCCTATCTACATTACATACTTTAGCACTTGTAAACTTGTACTTTTGTTCTCAACTAAATTTGAAACTTCTCAAATAAAAGGTCTTTATCAAAAAATAAAAATAAAAAAGATCTTCATCAACAAA